TAATAAATAAGTTCCATTTAATTTTTTAAAATAAATTTATTTCTTAATCCTCTGTGAAAAGAATGAATTTCAAGTTATAAAATCATAATATAAATATCATAATAAGCTAGCAATGCGATCCCTTTTCTGTTTAGCAATGTCTGCATTTACTGCATCATTATATTCCCTTACGTCTTGCTGTTGTATCCTTCTATCATCATGCACCATGTCTTGAATGACAGAATTATTATGTAGGAAACAGAAATTATGGAGCACACAACATGCTAAAACAAAGTTTGTAGCCCTGCCAATATGTTTGAGCCTCAACCCCAGCAGGCATCGCCACCGTCCCTTCAGAAGTCCAAATGCGTGTTCTATGACAATTCTTGTTGAACTATGGACAAAGTTATGGCGCCTTTGTGTCAGAGTGAGATTACCATAGTCCCTGAAAATAACAAAATAAATATATGAATTAAAAGGTACATTTCCTGCAAAATATTATATGAAGTATATTTGACAGTGCACATACTTATAAGGTGCCATAAGCCATGTTCTGTTAGGGTAAGCCTTATCACCAATAAGATAATTGTTGGGATTGTAGAATAAGCTCTCAGACCCTTGCTGTGTAACTTTTTTGTAGAAAGTTGAATATCTCAAAGCACGACAGTCGTTATAAGATCCTAGTGTACCAATGGAAACGTTGGTAAATATTTTCTTAGCCGTACAGATACCTGCACAAAAAATATTTATTGGGTGCTTTCCAATTGCTTAACACATCTTGACACACACGTACACAAAACCAGTTTATTGGTTACATATTATCTAAAATATCTTGTAAGATAATATGCAACCAATAAACTGGTTTTGTGTAATACAGTGTACGCAACTGGAAAGCACACTTTGAATATGGCTTTAATTTCATTATTTGCAGATAAAAATCTCAGGACATTAGAAAAAATCATAATACCTTGCAAGATTATAGAATGATTCATCTTCCTGTCCGCGTACGAATCCTGATCATTAGCAGGAGCAAGTACAGTAACGTGACAACCGTCGATGGCACCAATCACCCCTGAAAAGTGTGGGCACTCCGTATAATTAATAGCAGTGAAAAGGCAAATAAACAGAGGATTGGTGTATAAAACACGCACAATACAAAATACATGCATACCTAGATACCTTGCTCTGTCATAGAATTGTTGTCTTATTACTGCACATTCATTCTCTTCAGGTCATACTATAAATTTATGACTTAATGCACAAAGAATATCAACGATACGATGAACTTCATAATATATTGTAGAAGGGGCTACACCAAACCTGTCAGCTCCATTCTCCATTGCTGACTGACCAGCCAGATACCACAGAGCTATAAATGTTGCTTTATCAACTGTAATAACGGGCATCACCACGTTGCATTTTAGGCATATATATTGGAGCAATAACATTGACAAGTTCTATAAAAGTATCCTTGCGCATCCTGTTAAAAATAAGGAGAAAATTACATCGCAGACATGGATATTACAAAAAGCATAGCGTAAAGAGTACCGCATAGAATTTTTTTTATTCTTACCGAAACAGTCGGTGAAAATCGAAGTCTAAATAATACTGGATCCATTCTTCACCGCACAATTGACCTAATCTGAAATGCCGCTGCCTATCCTCTTTTCGAAACAGCAAAGAAACATTACACACTGCTCCTAACTTACTACATGCAATGATGAGTAAGTCATCATCAAAGGTCTCCTCCTCAAATAGTTGTATTGCTAAGGCTAAGGCTACATTTGTCTTCTGATTCATATTCGTCCAAATAACGCTAGCATGTTTGGTGTTTTCATAAACTAAATTAGGTTAGGTTTCTATAGTGGCAGTAAAATGTCATTTTCATTAGTGGTCACTATTTGTGACGTCAAAGCCTGAAACACTCCTGACCAAACGCTACCGTGGTCGCGAAACGAAAAAACGTCTCTGGAAAGCACCCAATGGTTCGCGCTCTCGCCACACGAGGTCTCCAAACGCAACTTAGGATTTGCCTACAACTCCTGCAGACCCTTAAGACAGTCTTGAAATAAGATTCGACTATGAATACCGGTCTATAATCTATTAATGTGGACTGTGGCCGGTATTCATAGTGGATGTATATCAGTTGGACACGGGGCAATTGGACACAGTCCAATCACAAATCGCTCTTCCAAGGGACCCTACAAATGTCTCTAAATACACGGTGCTGTGATTGGCTGTGTCCAAATGCACCGTGTCCAAGTGCACCGCTCCTATTCATAGTCGGGTCTTATTTTTAAGACTATCTTAAGTTCATCTTCAGATATCCGTAGTCAATAAAATAATTCGTTCATCATCTAAAGATAAACTTAAGACGCTCTTAAATATAAGTTCTGACTGATGAATATCGACCTATGACTTTGTTTACACGGCAGCTTAAAACCGATTTAGTAACTACCGTAGATAGTGTACTGTTAAATTCGATTGGAGTATATATCTACATCTAAAAGAATATGGGTGCTTTCCAGTTGCATACACTGTGTTACACAAGGGTGCGTTCCGTTTCCACGCATGATGCGCATGAAACGCAGCGTTAGAGTGACAGAGATATGAGAGTGAGATAAAAAGAGAGGCAGAGTACTCGAGTGAGGTTGTCGAACTTAGGTTAGGTTAGTTCTCGAACGCATGAGATCGTATGGACTGCACTACCTCGGAGCTGAGGCAGTTCATGCGTTCGAGAACTAACCTAACCTAGGTTCGAGAACCTCACCCGAATGCTCTCCTTCTTATTTTATCTTACTTTCGTATCTTTGTCATTCTAACGCTGCGCTTCATGCGCATTATGCTTGGAAACGGAACGCACCAAAAACCAGTTTATTGGTTGTATATTATCTTACAAGATATTTTAGATGATATGTGACCAATAAACTAGTTTTGTGTACGTATGTGTCAAGATGTGTTAAGCAATTGGAAAGCACCCTATACCAAGAATGCGAGAGTTTATTAAATACAGTTGTTACTAAACCGGTTTTAAGCTGCTGGTTATAAACTTATGGCTCTTGCACACTGGACGCGGTAATGCTTGCCGCGCGGCGAAAGTTCGCACGACAGTCAATCAATATGCTGCTTTCCGTAATAATCTTCTAGCTCTTACGGAAAAACAACATATTGATTGGCTGTCGCGCGAACTTCCGCCGCGCGACAAGCATTATGGCGTCCTATGTGCAGAAGCCATTAGTCAGTGATAGAAGTAGGTGGGACCCGATTGACCATGCTACGATTGGACACAGATTATAATGATTGATTCGACCTGGTAATTCACTAGATAATTCTTTGCATTGGTTATTTGTGTCCAATCGTATCGTGGTCAATCGGAACGCTCCCTTTTTGTCATACATCTTTGGTTGTGTACAACCCTTTACATACCAACATCTGAAAATGGTGAAAGGTCCTGCATGACACACACAGGAATGTATATCAATCCGGAGACAGAAATGGGAGGTGATATTTAAAAAAAAGTTTTAAAAATTTGTTTAAAACTATCATTTTTTTTTTAAACAAATTGGGACGCTTGTAAGTCTCAGTTCGGTGGCTTATACTATCCTGGTAGCATGGGAAGTAATATTATTTAAAAACAAGTTTTTTAAAAAATTTTAAAAAACTTTATTTTTTAGAAATAATATCATCTTCCAAGAGGCAAGATAGCCAAGATAGCAGAAGTCACCGAACTGACGCTTATGAGCGTCCTAGTTTGTTTTAAAAAGAATGATAGTATATATTAAACAAGTTTTAAAACTTTTACCTTAAATAATATCACCTCTCCCATGTCGCCGGGATAGCAGAAGCTACCGAACCGAGGTGCTGTATATCGTCGGTATGACAGTTTTCCTAACCTTCGTACTGATTAACTTTGTCAATTAATTTCTCACTTCGCGGGACAGAGCATTTATTTCTGCCAGATTCTTATTTTACGTGCAAAAACGCGTCGATTGGATATTTTCATCAATATTGGAAATGATATGTGTAAACTAAATAATTACCAAAGATAAATAAAAATAATCTATTGCCCTCTCTGACTATAAACAGTCAATGAGAAATAATACAAGTAAAATGGAAAATGAAGATATTGAACAATTACGCGAATTGAAAGAACGACTTTTACAACAGGCGCTTAAGTTACGAGATAAACTGAAGAATCAAGAAGAAAAAGGCAATCAATCATCGATTAATCTCGATATGTAATTTGTTATACGTTCTATCTCGATAAATGTTTCGATTTGCAGTTTTATTTACTGTTTCGTGTTATTATAGCAGCTTATCTTCCGACGATGAAAATGAAAAACTATCGGAATCATTGTCTGCAACGTATGAAGCTAAACTATGTGAGATTTCGGGCCAAGTGACTGGTATTGTATTTAAAAGTGTTAATAAGAAATGGTTACACGACAACATTTATCTTTATACAGCTAAAGTGGAAACTAAGGCAGTTTCCTTCAATCTCGAATTGAAAGTATTTATCAAGGTAGATAAGCATATAATTACTGTATTTTTTGATTGACTCTATGTGTACTATTTCTTTTCTATACCAGGGTTCAGATGATTTTAAAATAAAGAACATCGTGTGTTACTTTATAAATGTTGATGATTGTTATATACTAGAAATATCTCCTTGGTTTAAAAAGATCACAAGGACCAATAACTTTTCATTGCTGATGTCTGGTAAACAGTCACAATTATATTAGTACCACAATCCTGATACATCATGTAACATGCTATATTTTTTTCAGCATTATCTGATTACAATGATTATAGCATCTTTAGATCTAACATTCTATATAGTTTAGAATCAGAAAGATATACAAAAATCGAGCAAAATACTGAGGAAAATGGAGGTGTACTAGTGTATGTACACCCACCTGCAGATACAAGGAAGAACTATCTAATATTTCACTGGTCAATGAAATTTTTGGAGCTTACGTGGCATATAGAACATTTCTTTACAGTGAAGTCCACACATATAGGTAATAAAAAATATCAATGTTATACATATAAAGAAAGAAATTATGCCAATAAAATATATCTTTAATTTTGCTAGGAGTTCAATTTTCTGAAGAGAATCGTCTCTTATTGAAAGAATTTTGCAAGATTGGTTTGACAAAAGATGGTCTTGTGGATTTGTGGGATAAATTATGTACTGCCATTGAAACTTACCATGCTAGAGCATAGAGTGTACCTGATGGAACATATAACCTGATATAACAATGCTAAACAAGTAAATCATATATTAATAAAATATAAAGAATATTGATTGCTTGTATTTTTCTTAGTCTTTGTCAAGTAAGCCGAAATATTGTATGTATATAAGTAGTTAAATCTCATCAATCAATCATATAGTAACAAAAAATTATTAACACGTCATATTTATATTATAAAAATATATTACATTAACTTATTAAAAATATTTTACATTAACTTTTTATTAAATTTAATTTGAAATTAATGTAACATAACCTTCCAGTATGTAATATCTCATTATAAGCAATGTCAAGTGCAAAGATTTAAATATTTTGCAACATTTATTTTTAAGTTGTATATATATATATATATATATATATATATATATATATATATATATATATATATATATATAATATATGTGTACATACATCATATATACATATTCATACGTACGTAGAATGTACAATAACATCTACTGTATTAAGAAAGGTGGACTCACAAGTCCCCAGTGGCGCAATCGGTTAGCGCACGGTACTTATAAGACAGTGATCTGTGAGCCATGCCGGGGTTGTGAGTTCGAGCCTCACCTGGGGAAATTTTTTTTTTCTTATCACAATTTATTATATTTTATATATAATTATATTCTTTCTATTCTCTATATATCTATTTCAATAATTATTAACGCATCAAACAATTGCGATTTAATAATGACAATGTAAGTAAAATTTTAAGAATTGGCATAGCGTACTGATGCGCTGTATAATTGGCGTACATTTTACATAATTTTGTGAAATTTATATTTTATTATTGCTAAAATAATTACGAAATACAATAAATATAAACGTAGAAGTGTTAGAAAAAATTAGGTATCTTTTTAAGCATATATAGTGTATATTTCTCTTTTTAAGCAACACACGTAAATATAGTAAATATATGCGCTTAGGCTATAATAAAGCCTGTATCAGTATTTTAATTAATGAAATATCAAGATCTCGTTTGTTCGAGGTTATATGATTGCGAGAACACATTTAAAAAAAGAAAACTGAACTTATAGACCTTAAATTGCTCCATTAAGATCATTGCAAGGTTACTGATGTTTCTTTTTTTAACAAATAAATTTTACAGAAACATTCTTCATATAAAGATACTGAAATAAGATTATCAAAAAGAAAATATTTTCAAAAATATTTTAGATTTTATCTTGATACTTTCCAGTACAAGATATTAAATATTTCATAAAGTATTTACTTTTCAGCGACCTCATCTTATTACTTTTGTATACAGAATGACGGATAAAATTAATTGTTGTAAGAAGTACATAAAAAAAATTTGTATTGCATTTTGCAAATAAATCGACGCACCAGTGTACAAAAATTAATGTCCTTAATCGATTTATCTAATTATTTTACAAATAAAAGTATTTAGATGAGATCATCAAAAAAAGTGAATACTTTAAAATATTCCATGGCCCTTATTCTTGAAATAGTTGCGTATACGTAACCCAGATAGCCAAACCTGCGCGAACAGATTTCGAGCAGAGCTTGCTATCAACTTTTGATGGCAAATAGATAACAAATTTGATGCAGGATCTGTTATATCAAATCTTGCTGCCAAATTGCCGCCAGATATGCGGCAGAGCTTGTTGTCGGAAAATTGCTGCAGATTTGCAGCAAAAACCGCGCAGAGCTTGTAGCGATTTGACGGCAGATTGGTGGCAGAAACCGTGCAGACCTTGCTGCGCTGCAGGCTTTGTGCGGTTTTTGCTGCAAATTTGGCACCAATTGCCCGACAGCAAGATCTGTCGCCAAAACCGTAGCCTAATGTAGACACAGATGGCTATGGTTTTGCTGTGGATTTTTTATCAAATTTGTTGCCAATCTGCGCGCAGTCTGCGCTCAATTTGCTTACTGGGAAGTTTTACTGCGCAGCTATTTTATGGTATGATTAAACCTGCGCAGTAAAACTTACGTATACGCAACTATTTCAAGAATAGGGGCCCATATCTTTACAGAAAAGTATTAGAGCAGAAAGTAAAATATCTTAGAAATTATTAATATTTTATATAATAATCTTACTTTAGTACTTTTATACACGAAATAGGAATTAATTTCTTAAGGAATTAATTTCTTAAAAACAAAATTTTATTTAAAAAATTCAAAGTAACTGCCCTAGTAAAAAAAGTTGATAGAGAACGATTGAGAATAATAGAATTTCTATCAATTTGTATTGTTTTCTATAAGCTCTATCGTTCGCAAGCGTCAGCATTCGCGAGCATTAGATATAAATCCTATCGTATTTTACTTGATTCTATAAGAATCTGGTTCTATTTGTATTATATAGGAAACTGACGATAGAATACTATTCACATTTGTGAATTCACGAACCAAAATCCATATTCAAAACGATAGAATTTTATTCTATCGTTCTCTGTAAACTTTTTTTTACCAAGGCACAAGAAAAAGTAAGTTAAAGAGGTAAGTTGCATGTCATATTAATTTCATGGTTATTTATTGACCTGTTAAAGGAAACGAATAGTTTTCTGGGCATTTTATAAATAATCAGAATAATATATCAGAAGTATTCACAAAAGTATCTTTTTATTTGAAAACGACACGCAAGCATTTTGGATGGGTTTTTTCTTATGTCATCAATCCAGAGTTCTGCAGCGAGTATCTAGGAATCTTAATGGAATAGTTAAAGGTAAAATTTTTTTTACTAAAAATGTGTATGTCCTCAAAGTCATACAATTTTGAATATAAACAAAATCTAGGCCTCATTTTCTTTAACAAATATTTCATTGCATTGATTAAAATGTGACATGTATCACTTGATATTCAGTATAATAGTAGAGAAAAAAAGAGATATATTCTGTTTGAATATTTAAAGATGAAAATACTTAAGTGTTGAAAAATTGTAGATAGAATTACAATGACTACATTGTTATATATATTATACAAAAAGGGAGTACTTTTTAAATATAAATATTTAATTAGAACATTTTTGTTGATAAGTTCAAAAGACAGATATGTAAAAGCTTGGAGAAGCCAGTTTTGGAAAAGTTAAAGAAGAATGTATTAGAATTATTAAACAGGAAGAACTTATTTCCAAACAATTTCTTAAATTTATAAATTTTTAATTTTGTAATAAACTTGTAAACACACAATCTCTGTTTTTTACAAATTTGCATTTAAGCAACTTGGAAATAAGCTTTTCAATTCTATATTCACAAATTGTATTCAATTTATCAGATAAATCTTGACTATGATACATATTTTCCAAATTACTAATGATGATTTTATTAAGAAACAGTAAAGTATACATGTAAAATTCAGGTCTAACTAAAGAAATATATAGAATACATCTTAATTTGCAGACGATTCAGTTTTATCAACTGTATTTTCTTGGGTAGCATTTTCTTTGGCAGCCTTGCGATTTCTCCATGCTGTCATGTATGTTCTTGGATGAACAGGAAAAAACCCAGCAAGTCCTAATAATTCTGCAACAGGTGTGGATACATGTGATCCTTTGGCTAACCAATGCTGTATTCTTTCGAAATTAAACGACACCAATTTCTCGTTGTATTTATTTGGAATAGGGTCATAGCTGCCAAGTTGTTCTATCGGTGGTCGCCTTTGATGTTCCTTTAACTGAACGATGAGAAAAAAATCAATTGATTAATCGATCCTAGCCAACAGGTGTGTGAATTTTGCATAATTACATTTGTATTGTGTATCTCTTCATTCCCCAAAACGTGAATGTATATATACGTTTTTGTTTGGTTATATAAACTAGAAAAATTGTAACTAGAAGAAATACAACTAAAGAGAGAAATGAATCCATAACTTCGAATTCTTGAAAGGAGATTGATTTAACTTACATGCATCACGATGAGGTGATAAAACGGTCTATTAGCGCAGCCATAACGAACAAAACGTATCGACGTTTTAAACCGCGCAGCGATACCCGTACCAGATGAAGGATGCAAAGGAAATCGAGAAATGTGCGGCATGTTTGTTTTTAAAATTAATCGTTTACAGCTTGTCGTACATGACAAGTGAGGTTAGAGAAGTTACACTCTCTCTCTCTCTCTCTCTCTCTCTATGGTTCCAGGCCTGTACTCGGGGCGCATTCCGTTACATGCTTGCAACGCTCGCGAGCGTCATTCTGGTTGCGTTCCGAAATGTACTGCCAGTATTGAAAATCTATAGTTCATGTTACATATATTAGGGTGCCGTCCCATTGAGCACGGATCGGAACGCCGGATCGGATTTCTTACTATAATGAGCGTTCCGTTCTCTAGTTCCGTTCCGTAAAAGTTTCCTCTACCAGTCCCATATAGCAAAAACGGAACGGAATGGCGCGTCGGTCGCAAATAAATATGATTAATTCGTCAATATTTCGTTATTTTGACGCGACAGAATTAATTATATATATAATTTATGCAATTATCTTGCCGATAACATTGTCATGAATATTCTAAAATATTTAATTGAAGAGTGAAATATATTTTATAACTAGAAATCCGTTCCGTTTTGCTACATGGGACTGGTAGAGGCAACTTTTACGGAACGGAACTAGAGAACGGAACGCTCATTATAGTAAGAAATCCGATCCGGCGTTCCGATCCGTGCTCAATGGGACGGCACCCTTAGCTGCGTTCGGCACTGGAATCGGAAATGTCGGATTGCTCTTTCATCTCGAAGATACATAGAAATGAAAAAGTTACAAGATTTCGTATCTCTCTCACTTCTGTGTATTTTCAAGATAAAAGAGCAATCCGACGTCTTCGATTTACAATGCCAAACGCAGCTTTTATAGAATTTCATTATTGCAACCTCTTCTTGCAATGAATTTCAGAATGCAACCTCTATCTTTGTGTTCGTACATGTTAAACCAGAGAGAAACATGAGAGCGGCACTGCTCTGATTTCGACACAATCCAACTTTTAGCGAATAAAAGCTGGCGTTTACCACCACTTCATTAATTATCACTAAAAAGATGAATGAAGCAGATAAACGCTTAAAGTTCGACATAGTTCAACTTCTAGCGATTTAACTGGATCAAGTGATTGTAATTAATTAAGTGAATAAAATAGGTCACCTAAACCCAATGAAAATTTTTTCATGCATAATTATGTATGAAATTTGTCTATACATAATTACGTATAATCATATAACATTATATATTAGGTGTACAACTTTGCTTCCATCGTTTTCCTATAGATAGCTTTAACGGTAAGTGGTGGTCGAAATAAATAGATCATAGACGTCATACAATAAACTTGGGTATCTGTCAACATAACCCAATAGAAACATTAGTCGATTTGTATCTGTATCATAAAGTTATTCTCAATTGAAAATGTCAGTTTACGAGCCAAATTCTCGTCATTTGCAGGAGGTTTTAATTTCCTGCTTCAATATGAAGAAATCTGCGGCTGAGGCTCATCGAATGCTCTCAAATACTTATGGTGAGGCCGCTATTAGTGAAAAAACGTGTCGTGAGTAGTTTCAACGCATCAAGAACGGTGATTTTGACGTTGAAGACCGGCATAGCGGTGGAAGAGAGAAGGTTTTCGAAGATGCAGAATTGGAGGCATTATTTGATCAAGACTCGTGTCAAAATCAAGAAGAATTGGCACGATTATTGGGAGTGACTCAACAAGCCATTTCAAAACGCCTCAAAGCCATGGGAATAATTCAGAAGCAAGGAAATTGGGTGCCGTACGAATTGAAGCCGAGAAATGTTGAATGGCGTTTGTTTGCTTGTGAACAGCTGCTTGAAAGGCAACGACGGAAGGGATTTCTGCATCGCATTGTGACTGAGGACGAAAAATGGATTTATTACGATAACCCCAAGCGCAGAAAATCATGGGGAGTTCCTGGCCATGCTTCCACGTCGACAGCCAAACCGAATATTCACGGCTCCAAGGTCATGCTCTGTATTTGGTGAGACCAGCTCGGCGTAGTGTATTATGAGCTGTTAAAACCGACTGAAACAATCACAGGCGATCGGTATCGAACGCAGTTGATGCGTTTGAGCCGAGCATTGAAAGACAAACGGCGGCAATACAACGAGAGACACGATTGAAAGACACGCTTTCCAATTGCTTAAAACATCTTGACACAAGTACACAAAACTAGTTTATTGGTCACATATTATCTAAAACATCTTGTAAGATAATATGCAACCAATAAACTGGTTTTGTGTAGCACAGTGTACGCAACTGGAAAGCACCCAAAGTGATTTTGCAGCATGACAATACTCGACCCCATGTTGCGAAAGTGGTCAAAACATACTTGGAAACGTTGAAATGGGAAGTCCCCCATCCGCCGTATTTTCCAGACATTGCTCCCTCTAACTATTTCTGACTTGTTTCGATCAATGGCACACAGTGTGGCTGACCAGCACTTTCGGTCTTATGAAGAAGTAAAAAATTGGATCGATTCGTGGATCGTCTCAAAAGATAAGTTTTTTCGACGCGGGAATCGTACGCTGCCCGAAAGATGGGAGAAAGTAGTGGCCAGCGATGGACAATATTTTAAATCATAAATGTATAACCAGTTTTTTACAATAAAGCCTCGAATTTCGGAAAAAACAGCGGAAGCAAATTTGTACACCTAATATCATACACAATTATGTATAACAATATGTATAATTATATATAAATCTATGCGTAATTATATAAAATTATATATGAATTTATATATATAATTATACATGATTATATATATAAGTAGAATGTATGAACATAAATGGACAAATTTGATATATAATAATATATAATTATGTATAACTATATATAATTGTATATAATTATGTATAAAAAATTTTTCATTGGGAAAACGGCAAATTATAATAAAAACAAGAAATTATGGCTGAAGGGACTGATAAATTGACAGCGCCCGATAATACAAACGAAGTAGTATATATTATATATGGTCAGCATATTTATATAGGTTATAACCTATAGGCTACTCTTTGTATCTTATTTATTTATATTAAATTGATTAACTTTTTCGTCTTATGTATTTTTTTCTTTTTTAATACTTTTTATTCTTTTTAAATACATCGCTGCAACTGCAGCAGCTATATGTCGTCTTCGAACTTTACCTATAATCGCCACTGTACATGTATAATATTTTTTATACTCCATATCTCGATTATAACACTCCATTTTTATACTTATTGCAGTTTATACAGGAGATTAAACGTGGTGAATAGGATATGGGCGACAGCGAACAGCGTTATAACGCTGCTTTGAATTATGATGAAGTGGGGATAAAACGCTAGCTTTTATTCGCTCCATGAAAAGGATACAGGCTGTCTCTTATTACACATCTAGATGTGTAATAAGAGACAGCCTGTATCCTTTTCATGGAGCGAATAAAAGCTAGCGTTTTATCCCCACTTCATCATAATTCAAAGCAGCGTTATAACGCTGCTTTGAATTATGATGAAGTGGGGATAAAACGCTAGCTTTTATTCGCTCCATGAAAAGGATACAGGCTGTCTCTTATTACACATCTAGATGTGTAATAAGAGACAGCCTGTATCCTTTTCATGGAGCGAATAAAAGCTAGCGTTTTATCCCCACTTCATCATAATTCAAAGCAGCGTTATAACGCTGCTTTGAATTATGATGAAGTGGGGATAAAACGCTAGCTTTTATTCGCTCCATGAAAAGGATACAGGCTGTCTCTTATTACACATCTAGATGTGTAATAAGAGACAGCCTGTATCCTTTTCATGGAGCGAATAAAAGCTAGCGTTTTATCCCCACTTCATCATAATTCAAAGCAGCGTTATAACGCTGCTTTGAATTATGATGAAGTGGGGATAAAACGCTAGCTTTTATTCGCTCCATGAAAAGGATACAGGTGATAGCGAACAGCTTTTAAACGCTGCTTTGAACAATGATGGAATGGGGTGAAACGCCAGCTTTTATTCGCTACGTGAAATCGCACCTTAAGCCCATTCTACAATTGCGTGAACGTGGTTGTAAGTGGTTGTAAGTGATTACGACAACCAATCAGAGTAAAGCAATCAGTGAATAAAACATTCGGATTGGTTGACTCTTACGTTCACGACTACGCTTACGCAATTGTAGAATGGGCTTTACACATGAAGCGAGCTAGCGGCGATCTTATCGCAAAGCTAGATCATCTCTCATCAGTCTCGTCTTTCACGCGCTGCGTTCTGTGTAATTTTGGAAGGAAAATTTAGAAAATAGATAATATAAAACAATAAATAAATATACAAAATTTATGTATATAACACGTTAAATATTTGATTTAACATGGAAGCACGATATATATACAGGGTGTCCCATTTTAAATGATACAACCCAATATTTCGAAAACTAAAACCGGCAGACAAAAATGTTTTAGACAAAAGTTATATGGATCGATGGAGGACATAAGAAGGTACCATTGGTTTGACTTTGCGTGGCCCCGCCAAGGTCAGATCGAGGTCAACTTTGCTTTTTTAAATAGAAATATACATTTTTATTAGAGAATTTTATTCTACGTAAAGAAGTAAACAACTTTTGTTTGAAAATACTTTTTATCCGATCTTTATTTTAATCCGATATTTATTATAAGATATTTACGGAAATATCTACAAAATTACTAGTTTCAATAATTTTTTACTCGAATTCTATTAACTTTACTGAAAAATAGCAAGAAATAACAATTGTCTATTTTCTTCTCATAGAGCTCTGAGATTTTTTCAGAATTTTTGATTAACTTTTTAGATTTCAAGAAAGTTAAAGGAAATGCAGTACTAAAAAATTTATCAAAAATTCTGAAAAAAATTTCAGAGTTCTATGAGAAGAAAATAGATAATTTTTATCTCTTGTTATTTTTTGGTAAAGTTAATAGAATTCGAGTAAAAAATTATTGAAACCAATAATTTTGTAGATATTTCTGTAAATAGCTTCGAAAATAAAGGTCGAATAAAAAATATTTCTAAACAAAAGTTGTTTGCTTCTTTACGTAGAATAAAATTCCATAATAAAACATGTATATTTCTATTTAAAAAAACAAAGTTGACCTCGACCTAACCTTGGCGGAGCCACGCAATGTCAAATGGGACCTTGTTAAGTCCTATGCTATGATTATTAAAGAAATTTATTAATGGGATTTCACATGTGTTTCTTTATGGCCACGACAAAGCATTGTGACCTTCA